TAAAATTCCAACAAAGATGAGTTTTGATATTTGTTTTAATTATATTGCACTGTAGATCAATCATTTCCTTTTAAGTTCCGGGGCTAGGGTTTCAATGTCAGTATCAAAAGCATTCTGAAAAATCTTAATTTGATTCGCAATGGTATCAAAGTCCGAGAACGAGTAATCAAATTTATTTCAAAGCACTCAAAGTTTCGATTGCAAATCGATAGGAAAACTCAGTCTCAGTGGGTGGCTGAATATTTCACATGTTTTAAAATGTGAAAAAACATTTACTTCGTAGTTGTGATTGAAAACAGTATCAATTTCTTCCGGAATGATTGATATTAGTGTATAAATCAGGAAGATGCTGGTTTTCTCCTTGCAATCTCAAATTCAGTTCGTTCACATGTTTTGTCAAATCACATAGAAATGCTAACTTCCACAGCCATGCGTTGTTTGTAATTCAGTAAGAGGGCGATACTTTTCATTCAAAAAATTTCGATCACTGCTCGAAGTTCAAAAAGCGCTGAAGGACTTCCCACAACTAAGCCAACGTACGGCAGTATGATAAGGTAAGTCATTTTCCCCAATCTCTTCAATAAATTGCGTACTTTTCGGACTTTTTTTTTTCATCAGTGGACTATTTCACTTTTTACCACCGGCAACAATGATAATATGGTTTTGGCCCTCGGAACTTACTGGAGTAATCAGTATGGCCCTAAGGCTGGAAAGTTTGGAGACCCCTGGTTTAAGGCAAAGCCAATCGAGGGCTATCTGCTAATATTTTGGCTTGGCTTAGTTTATCTGATTACAGCGAAACACTCAAAGGGTCATCTGCTTATCTACCGGAAGGGCAAGATGCGTTCGTGGAGGACCTCTTAAGAGTAAATTGTTCGTGTCCACACTGCACCACGAAAATTTCCATGCAGCAAACCCGTTCCCCGGAGTACGCATTTGTGTCGAACTAAGAGTGTTTAATAACTTTACCTTTCGGCCAATGGTTGGACATGACCATTAGGATCGAGGTGCAGAAAAAAGAGAAAGAATCCAAAAGAGTGAGATGAAGGATTAAAAGCGAAGTTCCTAAAAATAAAATCTCAGTTTGAAGAATGGCAAAAAAGAAAAAACATAACTTAAAAAGGAGTGTAAAGGCCGGAGGTCATACATCACAGTTGAGTCAGAAACTCTTTCAATTTTCGATAACTACTATAGTAGTGGGAATTGGGAAATTACCATACCTATGGCTGTAATTAATTGGTGTGCCGAAGAGGTTGCGTTAAACAGTAAGAGGAAGAAAAGCTTTCTGTCGACTACTTATAGAGCAGTGCAGATTGTAAATACCTTTAATGTAAAGAAATATGCATATTTTAACGAAATGAATAGATATTTTTTAACGTAAATACTATAAAAATGCTTTTTAGATTTCAGATCCAGCTGGAAAGGTGCAAAAACCAAACCTGATTAAGCTTTGAACTCGTAACTGAACTACAAAAGGAAATCTAAATTATATAATTAGCTTTTCATAAAATCTATTTGAGAACTTGTATATCAAAGTCTTTTCCATTGAAGGGGCAAGTGAGACATTTCACTTAAGTTTAAATAACAGTAAACATTTATTTTTAAGGTTTTATTTATGCCTCGTTTCCCATCGCATTCGCTCAGCCCAGAGGTTTATGCAGATTTAATGGAAGGTGGTGTACATTAAACTGAGAGAAAAGTTAAAATCGGATGACATGCAGTTGAAATCTTGGCTCCTGCTGCTGCCACCTTCTTGTTTTGCTTAGCGACAGCAGTTTTTTAATTAAAAGCAAACGCTGTCATTTGGCACGCTTTTGGTAAATGTGAAATTTAGTTAGATTGCCCAATCCAGTTTATTATTTGTAGTGTCGCGTAGGTGTTGTAGCTAGTTATACTATTGCCTATTCCTGCAAATAAAAAAAAATATGTAAAAAAAATAAAACAAAATAAAATAAAGAAATAAAGGAAGGAAAAGAAAAACTAAAAAAAAAAAAAGAAAAAAAAAAAAAAAAAACTGAAAAGGTTCAGATTGTAATGATCGCTCAGAAGGGCTCTTTTAAAGGTTAGTATGGTTAAGTAGATATTATGGATAAAGATGGATCAGACGGAATAGCGAAATATTTTATATGATATTACATCAATATGCATTTAGACTAAGATGGGAACGTTAAATATATTCTGTATATTTAAAGAGTGGAAAATAATTGCAATGTAATTCTATAAAAATATTTAACATCCTTAATTAGATAGGTCATGAATTAAATGCACTTTTATTTAAATCAATCAGATTAAAAAGTATAAAAATAACATATTTAACAGCTGATTCCATTGTTTTTAATTAACTTAGTTTATCAGTTCATAATAAAGGGATTAAATATAAAAGAATAGTAATCTTACGTTTTTCCCAATAGCAACAGTTACGAAAAGTGAAACAACGCGAAATCGTGTTTCGAGACGAATAATACATTTAGGCTTAAAAAAACTGTGCAGGCTGTGTGGACTTACATTTAGCTGTTCTTGCATTTTATAACTGAAAGATGATCAGTCGTTTTAATACACTGGGGCTCCAAATATTCCGTATTGCAATGACTTCTTACCGATAATATTACAAACTTGTGAAGACCTGAAGACTTGAGTGTTAGTGAATTCCTAAGTAATATTTTTATGTGTTTATTCATCATTCTTCCGTTTTCTGCCAAAAACGTAATTAAACGAATTTATACCAAAATTTCTATTGTTTCGTAGAAATTTGATTAATACTTATTTATCTATTACCTAGTCCAAAATCTTCCTTTAAAATGTATTTTATAGCAGGTACCTCGGGCTGGAAATTAAACGAAACTTTCTTTTCCGCTTTTTCGTTCTCGAATTAAAATTCTATGAAACATGTTTAATCAAAATAAAGATATTTAGACTAAGCTAAATGGAAAGCAAAAGAAGCTTGATCCCTTTTAGTGAACGTATAAACCACGCTGTGATATCTCTCTCCACACTTTTAAATTATACTTCAGTATTCAATCAGAGACTTCAAAGCTGGTTTTGAAAGGAACAGAAAAATCAAAGCAAATTTAAAAGTTGAATAGAAAGGTTAAGAAATTACTTTCCTTTTCGAATTTGTTTTGAGTAATTTTCTTTCAATTTCACCTTAACGGTTTTTCCTTTGTACCGTGCTTTCGGCTTGCTTATTTATTTAAAGATGAATTTTCAGATTTTCTTTTTCCATTTTATTGGGTTACTTCTTTGGCTTTTGAAACCATTTAGTATTTTTGATTCTTTCGATATTACTATTGGTTTTCATTTCATATCACTGGAAAATATCACAGTAAAATAAATTCAGTATATTTAACGTAATGGCATAAAATGGGATGTGTACTTTATTTTAAATTGTAAATTGGTCTTTGATTTTTAAGTCGGATACATAAATCTCCCAAAAAATAACTTCATTTTTTTTTACTTATTCATTTATTTTTGTCCTCAAAAATATTGCGAAGATTACAAAATTAATTAAACCAAACTGTATGTTTCGACAATAATTATATTAGAAAATGTAATAGTTTATTACTTATGTATGCAAGATTAATTTTGTTAGGTTATGTACCTTAGTTTCACTGATAAACAAGTAAACGAACTTCTTGATTTCTGTACTTTTAATTATGTCTCTTTCATTGCTAGCTTTCAGGAAGTGAAATGATTTGAAGTTTGTTTACTGTGACTATTGTTAGGCACACCCGTCTTCTATTGTTAGGCTATTGTTACCGTTCTGCTATTGTTAGGCACACACGTCTTTGAAACTCATTTTGTTTCAGTTCAATTTTAATTGCCTAAAATTAAAAATAATTGCGTAAAAACAACTAAAAAGATTGGTGAGAAAAGTTTATTTTTTCAATTTAAAACAAATCGTAATTGGTATTTTATATATACTGAACTCAAACTGTTTCGAATAAAGTGAAAAAAAAAAAAATAAAAACAAAATCTGAAAGGTTTGATTTTAAATTACGTCCAAAGGGGCGTTTTTTAACATTTTGTGTGTTACCTTTCTTTATTAAATATCATGTTCCTCGCACTTAAACCATAAGATCCAGTGCAACAGCAATATCGCAAAATAGTTTTAAAACGAGCATATCTTTAGAATTTCCGATACAGAGACTCACGCGCTGGAGATAAAAATGTTTTTTCTGCACAACGTTGCCATTGCTCGCTTTGAAATCCTTGAGTTTGTTAATCAAAAATTCGTCAAAGTTTTAAGAAATAGGAAATCGATCATAAAACAAATTTCAAATTTCAAATTTGGTCTTCCACATGCTCATATTCGTTGGAGGATTACGTTATTCAAAATTCGATGACTCTATGTACCGTTGTTTTATCACAATACGAGAAATATACATACATTTATACAGATTTTTCATTATTTAATTTCTTCAAATATAATGCAGGACTCTTAACATTTTGTGGCAACAGTTTGAAAAGTGAACCGACATTTATGAGTCCGACGCAAAATGCCAAAACGAAACTAATAGTCCTTCGGGATTCAAATCCCTTTGGACTAAAAAAAAAAAAATTAAAAAAAAAAATAAAAATAAAAAAAAAAAAAAAATAGATTGATTGATGAAGTGCTTCAGCAGATATAATAATTAATTTGTTTAAAATTTAAAGTTTAATTTATTTTAAATAAGATTTCAAACGGCTGAAAACGTTTTCAGATGTAAAATGATCTTTATTAAAATATACATTTCAGTGGCAAAAATCGTTAAGAAATACCTATATATAAGATGGTCAAAATTTTGCTTTGTGCAAACTATGCCCCAAAATAAAAACATACGGTTCATAAATCAAATCGAAAACATTTATTTTGCTATTAACAGCGAGATATAAATATTGCAGTTGGCTACGTAAGCAAATTTTGTAACATTACTTTTTCTACATTCACTTACAATCTCCTTAATATGATAAATACCTAATTTTGCGTTTCTTAAATAACATATTCGTCTCCGAGTACTCACCTTACAACCTCAATTTGATCTTCAACTTCTCTACTGCCTAAGCGATAGTATACTTCATGCATCATTTTGTCTCCTTTAAAAGCACTGCCTCTGCCGTCTATCCACGCGTAGATATGATTTCTTCGTCCAGCCAGATAAAAACCCCAATGCATTTGAAATTCCTCCGTCACCAACTGTGATCCTGGAGATGCGTCTCTGTAAAATAATCGCAAGATTTTTTACGATTTCTCTCATCATAAATCTACTAATTTTCTGTCAGAGAAGCTTTTACACCAACGGTAGAATGCGTACTGAGAAGATGATCAGCTGTTTTATTAATTTATCGATTAAGAAAAATATTTCATGTAATCCCTCTTTAAGTAGATTTCCTATCCATTGATGGAATAAAAATTTCATAAATTGATTTGAAACTATATTTGTTCCAAACATCATAAATGAATTAAATTAAGTTTACGTTTTAATTATTACGACATAAATAAATCGCTGAATTTTTTAGTTTCACTTTCCCTTTCCATTGCATTAATGTTTTTTCAATCGGTACCATGCTTTCAGGTTGCTTATTTATTCTAAGGTAAATTTTCAGTTTTTCGTTTTCCATTTTATAAGCTTTCTTATGTGGATTTTGAAGTTATTTAGCCTTTTTGATTCTTTCGATATTACTATAGTTTTTCATTTCATTTCACAGGGAAATATCACAATAAAATATATTCAGTACATTTAATGCAATGACAGAAAATGAGATATATGTTTTAGTTTTAAATGTAAAATTTGTCTTATCTTAATGGGGTCTGGATAGGTAAATATATACTAAAAAAAGTACTTCCTTAAAAATATTTTTACTTATTTATTTATTTCTGTCCTCAAAAATACAGCGGAGGTTTCAAACTTAAGTAAAGCAAACTGCATCAATTATATTAGCAGAATTAATATTTTATTCCATCTGTGTGCTAGACACATTCTGCTAGGTTTAATGGGCCTTAGTTTATAAGGTATTTTTCCCGCTTTCTTAGAGTGCTCTCGTAGTGTAGTGGTCTGCACGCTCGACGCGTATTCGAGAGGTGCGTGGTTCGATTCCCGGCCAGGATATGGCTCATTTTTCAAGTCTCCTGCTTCAAAAAAACCTAATGCCTCTACAATTGCGCCCGAACTAAAAAAAATGGTGGATGGCAATTCTCCACCAACAGGATTTGGCGATTCGGTACCGTAATCCCCATTTTCCCTTTAAAAGAGGGAGTATATAAGGCATTTCTCCAGTCTTATTAGTGTGCTTCCGTAGTGTAGGGGGTCTGCACGCTCGGCGTGTATTTGAGAGGTCCGTGGTTCGATTTCCGCCGAGGGCATGACTCATTTTTCAAATTTCCTGTTTCTATAAAAGCCTAATATCTCTACAAGTTTAGCTGATAAACATATAAACGAAATTTCCTTGCGTCCATTTTAGACAACCTTGTAATATATTATCTCAACTTAAGACGCTGCCAAAGGAAATATTAACTTGTTTACTGGTAATCATGTCATTCAATTATTAGGGCTATTCTGAGAAAATACTCGCCCGTAGGTTTTCTATTCGACATACAAATTAGGGATGTGTCAAATTAAGCTGTTGGGAGACTTGCAGGGTTTGATCATGTTTACTTATCATGTTGTCTTATAGTTTACTGCCTGAATTTACAAAGGTTTTGCTCCCGAACAGAGTGTTCTGCTGTTTTTACTAGAGTTTTGCACGTTGTAGAGTTGCATTCCTTATACACTCACGTTTGTGAAAATTGCAACACCAAGAAGGAATTGTCATAATTGAATGCAATTTAAATACACAGTTGAGTGGTAGTGGTACAAATAAATGATTAAATGTTCAAAGCAAACAAAACAAGAACAAGAGATCAGAATCAGTATTTTGTGTGGCCACCACGCGCCGCAATAACTGCTGCTACACGACGTGGCATGGAGTCAAACAAAGTTTGAATGTCTGACTGAGGAAGAGCATTCCATATCGTTTGTACGCGTACCCAAAGTTCGTCTGCAGACGCAACAGGACGAGGATCACGAGCAAGACGCCGACCAATGACATCCCACATATGTTCAATTGGCGACATATCCGGGGAACACGCAGGCCAAGGAAGAAGCTGTACCTGCTGCGCTGCAAAGAAGGATTTAACAATCCGAGCAGTATGAGGGCAGGCATTGTCCTGTTGAAATACAGCGCCTGGCAAGCTTTGAAGGAAGGGAACAGCTTCGGGCTGTAGAACTTCACGGATATACCGGTTGCTGTTCAGATTGCCCACAATTCGTAGCAATTGAGATCGTCTATGATATGCTATGGCGCCCCAGACCATAACTCCGGGTGTTCGTCCACTGTGGCGTTCGATAATGCACTCCGGAAGGTGGCGTTCACCGGCATAGCGTCTGACACGAATGCGGCCATCATGGTACCACAAATTAAAGCGGGATTCGTCAGAAAACACGACATGCTGCCAATCAGCACGCCAGTCTCTATGCTGATTGGCCCATTGTAGCCGCAGGCGGCGATGGTCGTGCGTTAGGGGGATCCTGTATAAAGGAGTCCGTGCGCGCAGTCCACACTGCAGCAGACGTCTACGAATTGATGAAGCACACAATGAAACACCCTGTAGCTATTGACCACAGTGCTGCCAATTGTCTAGAGGAAGCTGTACGGTCCGTCCGCGCCATGCGGACCAGGTGTCTATCATCGCGAGCTGACGTCACATTTCGGGTCCACTCCCGGATTTCCGAGTTGTCCGACACTCGTCCGTCCACTGCTTCCAAACGCGCATCACTGTGCTGCTGTTACGCTGCACACGAGAGGCTACTGCACGATACGACAATCCAGCTTCACGAAGGCCGATGATTCTCCCTCGTTCAAACTCTGTAAGTTGTTCAAATCTCGCTCTCTTTCGTCGACGAGGCATAAGTACAGATTGAGTTAACGTTTACCACTAGCAGATAACCACCGATAACCATACACGCCTCGCTACAGCCGTCTATTTATTCGGATCCATCAGCCGTTCAGAGGGCGCTGCTCAGCATACGCATGCGCTACGGATTTGCAATTCTAATCATTTGCATATCATGCGCTACTTTGCATTTCCTGAAAATTTCAGCTCACTCGCGTAAGTCCTTCATGGTGTTGCAATTTTCACAAACGTGAGTGTAGATAAGATTATGAAAATTAATATTTTTACCACAGTTTATTCTTTTGAGTTTTTGAGTTTATTCTTTGAGTTTTAAACTATTGCAAACTTTTGCATTAAAGCATCAAGGTAACGCCTTTACGATAGCGTTTTAAGGATTAGACTCAGAAAGGGCTGCTCCATTGAGAAACTGTCTTTCTAGCCAACGGGAAGTTTCCTAGTTTGGGTATTGGAACAACTAAATACTTCACATTCCTCTTTGATCATCCCAAGCTTCTGACTGCGAGAATTAATTCGTATTAATCTTCGCATTTGATATTCATTCTCGAGCTGCATTTCTGTTACGACGATTGAAATATGTTTTTCCAGCTAATTTGTTTTAACATTTAACCCAAAATTAATGCATTTAATCGCATTACTGTTGCATGTGGATCACAAAACGATGCGAAGTTTGACCGATTTTATATCTTCAGATGATTAAATCTCAGCAAACCTATCTTTTTTAAGAGAACTTTACGGGCATCATCATTATAACATTAAAACTCCGTAATTTAACACTAGAAGCGCCGTTGGGATCATTTTGACCTTCTTTTTCCAATTTTATGCGTTTTTTTTTTTAACATATAGCTCATCTTCGAAGCTGATATTTTTTTTTACTTTTTCTAAAATGTTTCTATGCCACTTTTTCATATTTCTACGTTAATTATTTAAAAAAATAATCGCAGATATACCTAAAACAGCCAACTGGGGTCATTTTGACCCTCATAAGAAAAACGACACTAGGAGCACTAGGCCATTCAAAACTTTGTGCAGATGATTTGTGGAACAAGAATTGAGGACCACCTGTGTTCAAAGAAACAATGTCACGCAATCAGTTCCGTGAAATAATGCGGTATCTCAGATTCGATGTCCGAAGCACCAGAGCTGATCTGGCTGAGTCTCGCCACTAACAAATTTGCTCTCGCTTCTGTAACCTGGTACAAGCTAATGGAAAACTGTTATTTATGCTATAATCCTGGACCAGAAATAACCTTTGATGAACAATTGTTGCCTTTTAAATCAAGATGTAGATTTATTCAGTATATGGCGAATAAACCGGACAAGTTTGGCATCAAATTCTGGCTAGCAACTGATGTAAAATCCAAATATGTTTTGAATGGTTAACCTTATCTGGGCAAGGATGAAGAACGACCAACTAATTTACAACTTGGGGAAAGTGTAGTTCTCAAATTACTGCAACCACATCTAAACTCCGGACTCAATGTCACAACTGACAATTTTTTACTTCAGTGAAACTTGCAGATGAACTTTCTGCGAAATAAACCACAATTGTGGGGACGATGCTTCTGAATAAGCGAGAATTACCCCCATTGCTGGTGACACTTCTTCGGCACGATATTCATCTTTTGCACTGAAAAATGGAGACAAAACACCCACAATATATAGGTGCAAGAGCAAAAGGAATGTCGTGATTCTGAGCACGATGCACAGTAATGTGTTTGTTGACGACAGCATAAAGGAAAATCTGAACACTGTCACTTACTACAACAGTACAAAATGTGGCATTGATGTCGCAGATCAGATGCTGAGGAAATATAGTACAAGTAGTGGAAGTCGCAGGTGGCCTGTACATGTTTTTACAACGTCCTTGACATTGCTGAACTCAATGCTTGGATTATATTCAAAGAATCCTTGGGCACCTCTATTTCCCGTCGAGAATTTATTCTTGCACTCAGGGAAGAACTACGAGTTGGTGCAATACACAACAGATGCCCCCGCAATTGCTCAAATACAGACACTTAAAGGAAAGAAATGTGCATTTTAAAGTTGCAAGGGACAAAACAAGACTGTTGTCAGCTGTGTGGGATGCCAAAAACCAATTTGTGGTAAATGTGTTGATGTCTCTGTCAAGCGTTCATATTGTATCACCTGCGGTAATGTACAACAAACTTTGGAAAACTTTGCGTGTTTATTTCCAATTTATGTTTTTTGTAATTTTTTGCATATGTTCTATTTTCCTCTTTTTGCATTTGTATCTTTTGTTTGTTTTTCAAAGATTTTGGTTTTGCTTTTGTAATCTTACATTGAAAGATATGTGCTAATTTGCGCTAATTGCACAAAAAAAATATTCTAAAGTATAAAAAATAAATAAAAACCTCTAAAAACTCTTTTATGTGGTCATTTCACCATCATTTCAATCATTTACTGTGTTTCTACTTACATTCTTATGAGGGTCAAATTGACCCCCAATGGCGGTTTTCGGTTAGTCTGAAATTCGGCTGTTCTAGTGTTAAAATACTAAGACACATGGAATATGAATATGATGGGGTACTAGGGCTGGAATTTGGCAGCCTATATGACAGGAAACAAGACAAAGAAGAAAACAAAAATTACAGCATTGCTGGCAAACAAAGGAGAGTAATTAAATATTTCCCTTAATCTTATAAATTTTTGTGGAGACACTAGGTTATTTTGTAGCAGTAGATATGAAAAGTGTGCAGTTATCTCTTCGGGACTCGAAAACGCAACTCTTGAATACGTGCCAAGTGTACTACCGTTACGCCAAGAAGGCATGCTGGTAGGAGAGAGAAAATACCTTATAGTTTCTTTTAAGCTAATCCATTATTTTTACGGTAAGTTTTATATTGTACTTATTATTATTACTTATTGTACTTTTTATGTACTTATTATTATTACTTATTGTACTTTAGTACTTATTATTACTATATTGTACTTTTTATATTGTACTTTTGCTTCTTGCTTCAGTCTTTACCAGATTGTAAGTTAAATTGAATTTCAATAGAATACGGATTTTTACCTCAGAATAATTACAGAAGCAAATGCACAGGATATTTTGTTATAGTAAGACGATGAATCACACAGCCAAATGTCCGGGAATTTTGTATCAGTTAGATTGCAGGGTTAGAGTGCCTACTAACTGGAGTTGAATTATTAGTTGCTGAAAAATACGTAAGTATAAATCTTTAAAAACGAAGCTAATTGCAAAGTCTTAGAGTTGTAGCAAGCATATTTAGAACTGCTCATAGAATTAGTTTCACAGGATTATAGGTTTCACAAGTCACATAAGTTTATAGAATTGAACTTCAATGCATAATAATGTTATAATTATTTTTATAAGAAATTGGAAACATTTCCAGATTTAAAACATTTAATCTATGACAAAAGTATTCTTTATACTATGAAAATAAAACTATAAATTTAATTTTCCTGTAAAATAGAGAAGCGTGTTAAAATCATAGTAGAAAATGAAGCTTGAAACGTTTTAAGAAGTCTGTCAGTGTTCGAAATAACTATTTCAATAAGTAACAAACCGTGGAACGCTCTTATTTTCATTCACCAATGTGCAATTTTTGGGTACAATATCTGTCGACTACTGTTAACAATATTTTAATTACTGAAACGTTTGCACTTGTTTCCTCTATATGGTTCAAGGGCAATTTCTTGATCGAATCAATGTCTGGCATTTGTTCTGGAATTTTGCTCTCTTAACTAACTTAAATGCCCAGCTCACATATCATATTATGCGCAACACTCATTTTCACTCTCGTTATAAAAATATAAATATGTCCTTCCTAAAATTATTTATTTATTACATTTTATATTAGATAGATTTAAGTATTTTCTCTTGCAATTTAAAACACAATACTTTAAACGCAATTATTGGCACACTATATTAAAGAAATTCTAAATATTTTAAAACAATAATACGTACGCAAAAACAACCAGGGGATAGAGAAGTACTTCATCATCGGAAAATCCAGGTGGCAAAAGTAATTTAACGTGAGCTTCTAAAATATGATAAGATAAATTAAGACTGTATTAAGACTTCAAATAACACATAATAATATTTTCTTTTGTGGATCATTAAAAATCCAATTATCCATAGTTATTTATTATGCAGTTCTTTGAAAAGTACATAAATGTTTTCTTACTGTAATCTCCTTTTAAAGGTACTTGAAATGTTCGTACTTGAGGTAAAGTTTTCTTTCCGATTATTTCCCTTATATCATCATTTGCATCCAATATATCTGAAAAGAGACAAAAAAGTGCTGATAAGTTTCTTTCTTTAGATGAAATATATTTTAAGATATCCCTCTACTATAAATTAGTCATTTTCAATAGAAATCTATGAATTTAATGAATGCCTAGAATCCTTAATAATTTCTTGCATATTATCCTTGAAAGCACCATTAAGGACATAAAAATTACAGACTCATAACAGTGCTCTCGAACTCTCATTCAGGAACTAATCCTTATAAACGATCTCTTAAAAGCGGAGGGATTATTTTACGTCGTATAACTGCAACTAAGAATTAGAAAAAAACCTTCCAATTCAGAAATTTTAAAATTTATTGTTATAAAAAGTAATCAAAAATTTAATGCCAAGAAAAAAATTAAAAAGGCTTTGGAAGAGCACGGTGAAACTAACATACACGACTAGACTTTCAAAATAAATCAAATTAAGTTTTAGAGAAGAACTGTAGACTTCTAACAAAATAAAACATTCTCTTTTCGCTATGCCCTTTATGTTTGTTACAAGTTAAGTATCATGTTACTTCTTTCTACGTTTATTACATGTCCTCTACGTTTATTACGAGTTTCAAAGCGAAATATTTGCAATTCACGCAAATTTACATGCATTAAAAACTAATTCGAAGTATATTTTAAATTAGGCTTAATGATATGAAAAATAAGCATCATAGAAACTTGAGTTCTGTTCTGAAATTAACTTGAAATAATCAAAAGTCAGGGAGTGAAAATGATTCCAAATTAAAATAAAAATTCCATCCCCACATTCATTAAAAATACACATAGAGGTACATTAGATCAAAACATTTAATAATGCATTAAGCAACCCCAGCTAATGAAACACGTGCTGACACTCGTACGGCCGTCGACTCATATACTCGACAAATACAATACTGAAAAATATTGTTCCGTAATTTGCAAAGCTGATGACATGGTTTAACTAATTATTATAATAAGTGATATACACGTACAAACAAAAACAAAATTCTTTTGAATTATTTCCCAACTATTTTCTATCAGGCTTAGTTCTGTTTAACATGCAGGTTGTGATAAATAAAGAACAGTGTAGCAGCATGTTGGGTTACGCAAACGATATGGGCAATGGCAATCTTCTTAAAACAAGCCTACTTTATTTGATACCAAAAAAAAAAAAAAAAAAGTTGAAATACAAGACCTTGCCCAATATTTATGTCCAATACTGATGATACTAATGTCCAATATTTATGTCCAATACTTGCCCAATAGTGATGAATGTGGTATTTCTTGAAATATCCGTAATAACTACTAGATTTAATACAGATCAGTGGGCTGCATCAACCAGAAAAGAGAAAAACTTGTTGAAAACCTTGTATAACAGTGTTATATTATCAGGTTCTGTGTTCATCCTTACTTGCTTTGGGAACATTAACTGTCCTGACTCGGAACAGGGAGCTTACTAAAGCTATGTTCAATAAATTTGGGAAGTAGACAATACACACAGGAAGGGTATATGAAACCCTTTATTTTTCTCTCTTTACAATGATTTCCGGAACTTCGGAATACAGAGACCAACCACTTGTGGTCTGAACGTAAGAATATAAAAAAATATTAACTAAAAATCTAACTAAACTAACTTTGGATTAATAAACAAGTGCCTAACTCCAAGATTGGCCGTATATGACCAAAAAGCCGTATGTAGTACAGAGAATTGCTAACACTACGATACGTTTAAAATTATCAAGAGGATTAAACCTCTGGCCTTGAAGGCAACCAGCAACCGAGTAAAACTACTATGGCAAGCGGCCTGCTTCTAATAGTTCCTTCCTCTCTCTTGCTTGGCAAAAAGCCACAACTTAAGTACTTGGCGTTCGCAAGACAAATTTGCATAAATAAGTTAAAGCTTTTAATTCTGGTCGGAAGTAGAAAATAAGATGTGATAGTAAAGATTTAAAATAAAATAAACTTTAGTAAAACTTAGGATCCTTACAATATATGTAATAAAAGCAAATATTACTCTTTCACGGACCTTGTAAAGTCTTATCTGACTTTTTTCACTAAACACTACACCATACCCTGTATTCCACTTTGACAACCCTGAATGCATAATTAAAGTTACTTTTAATATCTAACTGTACGGGAGAGCTTGCTAATTTAGTTAATGATAGACATTGTCTAATTCATGTTTCTGGAAGAGGATTTTGAATTTATGTGCTTCTATTCTATAATATTGCAATTTCAATGTGATTCGCCACAGCTATTTTGTACTTTAGACTGATCCTTATAGTGTAATCCATCATCTTGGAAACATCGGGTTACCTAACAGCATTTATTCATTTCCTTTATGTGCCATGAACTGATCCTCCTCATCTCTTTGACATATTGAATCCGTTTTAATAATAGTGGTTAAAATGTGAATATCATCTGTTAGGTAACCTAATGCTTAACGCCACTGTAAGAATTACAAGGTAGCTAAAAGAACCTTATCGTGAACTTCTTCACATATTTTAACAATAGATATGACCTATTGTGTATTGCAGATTCTATCGGCCCTGATAAAAGACTGCTTAAGATATTTTGGAATATGTCATTTTATCTCTCAGATTTCCATAACTAATTATTTAAACTTAATCTCATTCTGGTGGATCGACATTTATTCCTGTTACCGTAATTGTGTTATGTATCTAATATCATGCAGTACCTGTATTTATAGATATTTGGAAAGTAAAATTTACAGTTCTTTTTACTAAGAACTAGATGATCACATGACATATTCTCAAAGTATATTCGAATTAATGTATGTTTTCCATCAGTGTCTCATTTGTTTACTACATTAACAGTACGTACATGTCGAGTACCTTCTCGCTTATTCCAAAGCCCACACCAGGACTCGCTGGGCACCACGTGAGAGGCAATGCTGTAAATTATTTTGGTGTTATTCCACATATATCAAAATTTTTCTCTAACAATAATTTTAATTAATTAGCAGTAATTTCTCTAATTTTAAAAGAATTATTGTACGGGTAATAAAGAACAATTAACAAACTAAAATGTAAGATCTTTTACTAAAAACAATTAAAGGCCAGAAATTTTCACTTAACCAAGTTACGGTCAAAATGACGATCACCGTATTTACAGGTAAAACGAAAATCCCATAATACTAATGTTTAAATATCTTATTTTATGATTTTGCATGGAATTTTGTTTCTTCTCAGATTAATGCTTTGATGCTTACTGTTTTCTGCTTTAGAATGTTTTTTATGCTTTTTTACTTTTAAATTAATGGAGTAATTTTTCATCTTTTCACAGACTTTACATACAGCTTTTACATTTTGCTCCCTTTTTTAAAAATTTAATTCTCTATTGGGTTACATTTTACATGGGTTTAGGAAATTCCATTCGGGCTTATTATTTACTATTCACTCCTTTTGTTTCTTAGTAATTTCACTTTATCATATTCTCCTTTATTTTATTATTTATTTTTAGACAAACGCGCCTTGCTATTCCCCTAACCTTTCCTTTTTGCATAAATAAACTTACTTTTACGAATTTATAGGCAAGTGCACTTACTTTTACTTGCCTATAAATCTGAACGCAGCTTCCAGTTTTAACACAACTAGGGAGGAATTTGTTACTTCTGGTTCCTTCCATGTGTTACAGCTGGAACTACATTTTTATGCAGTTGTTCTCTTTTTTTCTATAGATATTACGCTCTATACGATATTACACATTTACATATATATATATACATATATATGTAAATGAAATACAATTATATATATTTTTTTAAATAAAAGAAGAGAAAATAGTTGTAGCTTAAATGCAAGTTTACAATTCCTATCCCATGCAGGTCCTAAACTTTTTTTTTACCTCGAAGAAAGTCGTACTCAAAGGTAGTACATGAAAAATTAAAAATTAAAATATGAAAAACATTACATATTAAAATGAGCAAAAATAAATATTGACTTCCTCAGTTCAAATCTTCAAACAAAACTTATCAAGGGGAAAGTGTTCTGAAGTCCGAACAAAGTTGATTGAAGAGTTTCGAATACAACTATTCGTTTCCTTTGAGACATTTGAGATACAGACAGGACCATACATTTTGAAGAAAAAATTTCAATTCAAAGTAACTTTCAAATGGTTCTCAATTGCTCAGACCTTTTCCCGACTTGCATTCGGAACTCTTAAGACAGCCAAAATTACAATACTCAAGAATAAAATTACAATACTGAAGCAGAAAAAAAATTTACAAAAATATGAAAAAAAAAACTTAATAATAGTTTGAGGCAGTAAACGGAATAAATAAAAAGCGAACAGCCTGAAAATGTCAAATGAAATAATTACAATCTTTTAAAACAAGGGAAAACCTTGAAAAACAAACAACAAATTAAAAGGTGAGTATATAAAAACCTCAAAAATGGGCGTCACGCGCTTATTTTTGACGTCCATGATGGACATGGACAATGCATGAAAACGGTTCACATTTTGGATATCATCAAATGATTCGATTTGTAATCGCTAACCAAGTGTAAAAATTATTGGAGCCTTGGATTCAGGAAACGTGTGCTCTGTATACCTATGTACTTAAAGTTAAATTTAGGTTGGTCACATATGCACAATGCCTGCTAACGGCTTATATTACTGATCCCACCGAAGGGTTCTGTTTTTAATAAGACAATAATCACAAATCATAATAAACGGATCCTCGGCCATAGTAAGTAGAGCTTATACTATACTACTATAATTGTGTCCCCACATACACTTTCTCTTCTTTTTCGGTCGCGCTTTCAGTATACCTCACTTTACATAGTCAAGTCCCTAAGGCCATCACACTAAACTATAGGTTATATATTTATTTTATCAACAGAATACCACAGGCTGATGAGCATCTAAACCTATTCTCTCGATGACGAAAAGAGAACATTGCATCAATCTTTCTTAGTGACTTTTAAATGAACTTCAGTCATAGAACATAGATGCCGTGCTTATTTTTGAACCTAAGCTTATTTTTAGTTCGACCACATGTAATTGGGGCTTGCAAGAGGAAGTTCTTGCATCTATTTAAGATTCCATCACATTTCCCAGTTTTCAAATGGCTTCTGTACACTAGTCACAATAAAAAAGATATTATTGTTACTAGTGTATTAGTTATTATTTAATGTGATTAGATGCATATGTGGAAATGTGACTTCATTAACATAGTCACATATGAACAATGTGAACGAAGAGCGTAGTGCTTTTGAGCTACCGTTCTTCCAAACCCAAATTTTACTACTTTTCCAATTACTTGAAACCTCCCAGTGCGATTAAATCTTTATTAATTCTGACATTCGAATATCATCAGAGAATTAAAACTACGAGATTTTTATAAGAGAATTAAAACGATAGTGATTCTTTCAACAGAATTAAAACTATAATATAATGAGTTGAAAATGCATACTGACTTACCAAATGTGTCGTTATAAATAGATCTGATTTCTATCCTCGGAACACCAGGTCCTAGACACTCCAGAATATAAAATTCAGCATTTGGGCTGAATATGACGTTATTGAATAAGCAATTATAAGCTTCATCACAAGTTAAGCATTTGGTGAAAGTTACGGAGCGAGTTTTCTTTCCAGAAACGGAAAATAAGTGACGCTCTCCTGGACGGTTTTCAATAGTTGTCAAATAAAATCTAGAAAAAAGTAACATTTAAATGGATAATTATAAAACTGCATAGTAAGAGAGAAATGAAAATATTTTTTCATTCCGATTCAAATCTGTAGGCATACTTATGGCAAAACAGCATATGTATTACTTATCAAACAAAATAGAAGTTTAGTTATAGATATTTTAAAGAAAACTTAACACTGCACATACAAGAAATTACTAATTACCGAAGGATAAAATAGAGCTGTAGATCTGCTGCATATTTATTTACTCATACAATGGGTTATGTTTCGCAACTAAAGCATTTAGAGAATAACGCATTCTGAGGTACTTGAATAATGCATTTCTGACAGAAATTACTTTTGCAGTGCTGGATTACTTTTCAAGTTAAATGGTATACTTGAGTCAACTTTATCTTAAATGTGTTCTGAAGGCAACTTCCATCGTAAGTAGCATTCTCGTTAGTGCATAAGCGCGGTATAATTATATGCCACTCTACAAAATATGTAGTTAATTACCAGGGTCTTCCAGATATTTTCTCCATTTTAAAGACAATTCCATGGTTACGCTCGACTTATCCATGTTTATCAGCATTGAGTTTTGCATTTTAAGATAAAATTACTAATTTATTTAGAACAATTCTTGGTTAATGATTCAAATAGTGTACTGACCAGTTTCCGCAAAATATATTTTTGATTTATGAACGTTTTCCCTACAGAAAAGTAGATTTCTTTTGGGTACTCATATATCTTCTCCATGTGTAATCTTGTAAATAGAGAATAATTTCTGTTATCCAGTTTTTAGATATCCGTAACAGCAATTATTCATTATCAACTCTTCTTACTTTTAAGTCAGATGAAATCAAGCCCACTATTAGTATCTTCCAATTATTTTCATTGATTTAAATAATACGAATGTTAATATAATATATTACATGCTTTTGAAAAACATTAAATTAATTAAGGAAGGAATTTATGCACCGGATAGACTGGGCTACAATACTCGAGGAAACGTAACCTACGAAATGTTTTGATTTTACTTTTGATTTGCCTTCTTCCGAATTGAATCTTTACAGTTGTTTTGCCAACTGAGCCAGAGAAGGAAGAATTCAGTTAAACTGACTACCAATAAGTATTTGGACACCTATGCAAATGACGATATCTGCGGTCCCAAGGTACGCCACGGACTCCGCCGGTATATATCGTGTAGGAAACAGCATCGGCTTTAGTCGCATGCAAGATGCCTCGCAGTTCGGAGCTCTCTGATTTCGAGAAAGGTATAATTATCGGGTATCACAAATGTGGCCGATTCTTAAGGGACATATCTAGAGATCTGAAGTACCCAATATCGACAGTGGTATATGTGATTAAGAAGTGGAAGGTCAGGGGTTCTTGTCGGAATGTGCCCCGAGTCGACAGACCAACGAAACTGGGGGATGAGACTGACGAGTGCTGTTCAGAGAAATTCGGTAGAACTGCACCCAACCGATAGCCCTCATCCGCGAGGAGTTTCAACAGGCATCCGGTAGTATTGTTTCAATGACTACCATCCGTAAGGAAGCACATCTGCTTGGTTTTCATGGTCATGCTGCTGCCCATAAGCCTTTGATCACAAAGTCCAACCGCGCTGCTCGGTTAATGTGGTGCAAAACACATCGAAATTGGACCGTAGATCGCGGGTTTTTTGGAGTGACGAATTAAGTTTCACCCTTTACCTTTCGGATGGCAGGGTCTGGGTCTTGCGTCTACCTGGCGAACGTCCCCTGCCAGAATACATTGTGCCAACAGTCAAGTTCGGCGAAGGTGGAATTATGGTCTGGGGGTGTTTCTGCTGGTATGGGCTGGGACCCTTGGTCCCCATTCATGGTAAGCTCAACTCCGATGCCTACTGCACTATTTTGGGTGGCAATGTGCTTCCTACATTGTGGGAGTTTTACGGGTTGGACACTGTTACTTTCAGGACGACAATGCCAGTTGTCATGTTTCGACGTTAACCAAGGCTTGGTATGGTGCCAATGGAGTTCATCGAATGGACTGGCCTGCTCAGAGTCCAGACCTGAACCCTATCGAGAACATCTGGGACGAGTTGCATCGCCGAATTCAGGGGTGCACTACCCGTGCAAAATCGGTGAAGGAACATCTATGTCTTCTTCAAGCCGAGTGGAAGAAAATACCACTAACAAACATACTGTCATTCAAAGACTTGTGGAAAGTATGCCCCGGAAGGTCCACGCTTTAATTACCTCTCGTGGAAGCTCTACCAAGTATTGATTTTGAATAAAGTTAGTTTTTCTTTTCTATCACATGTGTCCAAATACTTATTGGTAGTCAGTGTATTTCCTTCTCAACTGAGTTTGATCTTAAAGTAATACACTCTCTAATTTAGAACGCTTGTATTTTTGCAACACATTTTAAGAACAATAACATTTGGGTTTATAATAACTCGTCACTGTTTTCCATTGCATTTGGTCAGCAGATCCATTGCTTATTTCCTTTTCACATACATGCTTCAATTTTAACGATTGACATCTTAGTAAGTCACATTCCCTTTAGGTTTCAATACATCTCATCAATTACAAGAAGACAAAACTGATCCGTTAACACCAACAGCCTCATTGTAATGATTTCTGACTAAAATAAAGTAACTATATTAAATGACTAATAAAATACCTTTTAATACCTTCAGCGGTATCAAAACCTTATATATATACATATCCACGTACATTTTGTTAACTTAATTTTGCAGATTTTTCTTGTTTGGTATGCAATGCTTAAACATTTGTATTGATTTCATCTTTATATCTATACTTGTATTCATCCTTGGTACTATTATGTTTGCCTAACTTATACTATAATAGTGTCCCCACATGTGTTTTCCCTCCTTTCCTTTTGTCCCTTTTTCAATATACGTCACTTTACGTTGTCAAAGCCCGAAGAATATCTTACTAAGCTTTAATTTATTTATTCCATTGACAGAATCAAATAGGTTGATCAGCACCTAACCGTGTGGACAAGCTGTTCTGCAGGTGGCGGAAAAATACATTTCATCAAATTTTGATGAATCAAATTTGAAAATCAATGCAATATGCTACAAAAAACAAAACAAATAAATAAAATAAAAAATAGTTGCTAAAATGTCATCTTTAAAATGTCAGATGCAAAAATGAATTAATTCAAATCATATTTTGGTACAGAAAATAGAGGGCCGAGAGTTTTAAACTCATCCTCCTTAACGTTTATATAAGTACATAGAATTTTAGAGTAGTCTTCTTATTGGGAGCATCAAACGTAGATCCTACTGAAGATAGCAAATTCTCACTGTATCTTGAAAACAAAAATAGATGATTGCCGATGAAGGTTATAACAACGTTCTCATTTTAACTAACCTGAACAGAAAATGCACACACATTCTGTGCTTATAACTAACCACCACTTGTGGCTAAGAAACTTAAATAGAAAATAGTATGTGCAATCAGAATTAATTAAAAGTTAACTGCACGACTGGTTTCTACTTCAATCTAAACCACTTAATCAGCTGCACACAGCAGAACAGAGTCTAAGCCTAAATTCATTTACAGGGCTACTTGCAAATGCGAGGAATAAACTCGTTCTTGGCATAAACCACTCTACTAGTAAATAACTTTTTTACTTCGAAATCTTCAATTCTGCTACTTAAATAATATTTCCGAACTCATTGAGAATCTGTATATACGTCATTTAAATTTCCATTCTGGCAGGAAATTGGAATTAAAAGAGAAAGAAAAGTTTCTTAAAAAAATGATTAATTAATACAAAATAAAGTCTTTACGGAATGAGGGTTCAATTGGGAGTGATAGTCATAAAATATTTCTGGTCTGAGTTGATTTTGAAATAAGTTAGGAAATAAGTTAAAAAAGGGGTAAGTTATAAAAAGACTAAATCTGGATAAAACCACATTATTAGCCACCAGAATTTCACAAGTATGTATGTACAAATGCATGTATTTATATACAAAACCAGTATATGGTCTAAACAGAAGTGATGACCTAGCTTCACTAAACATTCAAGAAAGAGGTAGAAGTAAAAAACGTATTTTTTGCAATGCGAGAAGTAAAGTTTCTTCCTCGTATTACAAAAAATGCTTTTTTGTTTCTCTTTCAGAAAGAAAGCCAGAGCCAACTACCTGAACTTTTGGAATAACCGGTGCCAGTTGGACTGTTTTAATTTATTTGGTACTTTACTATATTTTAATGTTATGTTTAAAAGTTTACTTTTATTCCAAACACAAGTACTTTTCTGTCATCAAGATCGGATTCAGAAATGTGTGTGCGTTTGTATAGACACCCATAAACATGTATGTATATACATACATATATACATGCAAATACACACATTTAAAACATACACACACACCTACATTTTTCATATATTTCTGAATCTGGTCCAGGTAACAGAAAAAAAGTTTCAATTATATAGCTACTTTAGTTGTCATTATTACATAATTTAAGAAGAACATGGTTTTCTCATATATGCGAAAGGAATAATTAGTGCATTTTATATATATCCATTTTGCTTTCTGATTGTATTAAATAGGTCCAAATGATCAAGCAATGAAATTTACTAAGCTTTTTTTCTTGTTGGACTATTATTGTTGAACTTCGTATTTCATTCTATTTAAGTACGATGCAGTTTTATTAACATACTATAGAACCCACTTGCGAGATGATATATTTTAATAGTTTGCTGAATTTTCTCCCAATCTATAAAAATTTGGAAAAATTACTGTATGGTTAATTCACTTGGTTAATGCGCAAATAACTAAGTTTTAAGTATGTTTATATTATTAATTGACACTCTATAACAGTACAAATGCGTTTATTTAAGAATCACGGTTTTTATTACTTTCTTTCGTAATTTTATACGTGATGGTTTTTAAAATAAAATTAGCATAAACTTCAGCTAACATTCCAAAAACATATCAGTGGATTTTCAAGAACTCTTTATCTAATATTTTAGATTTGAATTCTTTAGGAGCTTCTAAGTTTCCCTTCATAATTCAGAATATAATATTCTAATGTCATTCCAAATATATTTAAAGTTACTTCGTCTTCTAGAACATAATATGGTGAATATTAAATCCGTAGTCCAGAACATTCTGGACTACAGTTTAAAGTTCATGAATACGAACAAATAATAAAAATAAAAAGGATACTCATAATGAAAATGAAATCATTGCAAAGCTGAAAATGATCGTACGTATGAAATGAAATCATTGCAAAGCTCGCAATGAAATCATTGCAAAGCTGAAAATGATCGTACATATTTCTCTATGTAAAAGGAACATTAAATTACAATTAAATGCAGTACGAGTTTTGACTATTTATAAAATATTTTTCTTTTTTTTTAAAACATAGTTTAAGATAGTAATATAATAAAATGTTATATTTACACTGTGTTAGTTCCTTCGTGATACGCAACGACTCTCGCAACATCATAACGACCCTGGGTTAGATAATCCACATGTTTTGTCTGGAAAAAGAAGTATAATCTTTTTACGAAATTGAAGTTATTTGTTTAATAGTGGATATGATTATATATTTCTATAATATAGAGCACACTAATTTTGCTTAATAGAGCATTAAACATAAAACGCAAAGATTTCAGTGTATATAGAATTTGACACTACAGCATAGTATTTCCAAACACATGCATAAATCTAAAAGTAGGGAGGAAATCACCATATAATGCCATACATTTTCAGTAAAAGTTTGTAAAACTCTCAAGAGTGAATCGATATAAATATTTTTTTCAGAAGCCAAAAGTAGCAAAGATGTAGAAGCGACAGCTATTTCTAAAAGAAAATAATTTGGAAACTATAGGTTTAATGAAAGAAAAAAAAAAAAAACAGAAAATGCTATTCGTCTGAAAATTCTAAATGAAAATCTGATGATTATTGGTACACATTCTTTATTAGATTTGATATATGAAATTCGAATTAAACGCTTTAGTTTAATAGCTGACATTATTAGTGGCACGATAATGTTACCGTGAAAGACAGAAATCTGGAAATTGTCGTCGTGAAAGACCGAAATCTGGAAATTTCTGCGGCAAATGTCAACTTAGTCGCTTGGTGTGTGTCCAAAATATTTACTAAATATCCTTATTTCTCACTTACATCAGCAAATGTCTACATTCAGCATGCACTGATGGTAAATGCTGAATACAAATATTTTTACATCATACTTAATATTATTAAAACTTATTATACTTTATGACAAACCTTCTAACAGGCAAGGCCGTATATATACGGCCTTGCCGGTATTGCAATACCGGTATTGCCGGGTTGCGTTACGGCCTTGCCGGTATATTTTTTGCGATATCTGTAAGAACGAAAATATACGTGCATATTAAAATATGTCAAAGAAATTAAAGCAATATATTAAAAGTACATAAATGCAGGTACAAAATTACAGGAGACATTTTAACATTAAAATCAAGAAATAATTTTCTCACAGTAGTTTTGGGAAATTTGTGCTTTCTTAGTGAAAACCCTGGCCAGTCATAGGGTTTAAGTAACAGCACATGTAAATATTCTGTTAAACGTAAAACGAACAATACGTTCTAAATGAAAAAATAAAATAACACCAATACTAAACTCACTTAATTATATGATTGACGTTATGCAATCTTACTTATTGCAACAACTTCAACTGATGTGACACTTTGAACTGCATAAGAGTTATTTGCTTTAAACGCCTATCTTGGCTTCTCGTTTTGACCTATTCTCTGCTTCTCGTTTTGACCTTCACCAAAGCATATTTATGCTTGTCGACATTGACCAGTGATGGTCCGAATGTATAAGAAAGAATATAAACAAATATTTGGCTCTCTCACCGACGTATTTGGTATGTGTTGACATTCACCGGACAATGTGGACATTTTCCAGTTTCGGTTTTTCACGGTAACAGAGTAACATATTTTTCGAAATAGAATGACCTTCGAAATATTTTTCGAAGTAGAATGATCTTCAGCTGATTTTCTAAACATATTTATTTTTCTTGATCAGAATATTTGACAGAACAATATTGACAATTTTGGTCACAATCAGTAATACATATTATTATTATACATATTATTCTGCTTAATGTGGCACAAATGACCGTTTTAAATTTCATGAATTTAACGCATAAATGTAAGACAACTTAGTAAGATAAAATAAAAAAGAAAATACTAATTAATAAAAGAATTAGAATATTCAATTTCTTCCCTTGATTGCTAATCAAAATATATACTTACTTAGGATTACTTCAAGGTCATACTAAGTACAATTCAATTCTACTAAATTCCAATTAAAAATGTAAAATACAAATCTGAAGATGCTTTCCTGAGAATGAAAATTAGTTTATATTCTATTTTGTATTATCCTACTCCATTTTTTCAAAGTCATATTTCAGATAAACGTAAATTAAAATTAAAGTTTTGCTAAATGTGTGTCCACTGTATGTTTAGAATAAAGTAAATGCTAAAAAGTCAAAAATGGAACACTCGTATTTTCGTTTAAAGGAGTTATACCAAAATTACTGATCTGACAGACAGAAATGAGCTTCTCTAAGTGCTTGCTATAACAAGAAGAAAGAACGAATTTACTTATTTTCAAACTGTGAAACTGAGATAAGTTTAAAAAATATCTAATTGAGTTAAAAGTTTAGTAGAAATAGCATTAATAATATTCAATTAGATTTAAAAGAAATAATATTCTTATATTAAAAACTGGAAAGTCCTTCGATAACCTATAAATATAGAGCTAAAAAAATTAAAATTAGGCAAAAAGTAAAATTTAGATTGACGCAAATTTTGAAGAAATCGCTATAGATTTTGAGGACACTCAGATACAGATTCTTTTCGCGAGTGAAAATTTGGTTATAAAAATGTGCGGAAAAATAGCTACATTTATATAAGGCAATTATTGAGCAAAGTTCTACTGAGAAGAGCAATCTTTCAAGGAAAAAAGTAATGACTTGGTTTCAAAATGCTAATATTTTAGCTTTTTTCCTCATTTCTTTAAAGTTTTCCTCACCATATAGTTCCATGCTCCTTTTCTCCTACGTCCGCTCATTGCTTTCCCTAAAAATCTGATGGTCATTCTTTGAAGTTTTGTGAAAATACCTTTGCTCCTGACGAAGAGGTGTGTACATCTGATCCACTTGAAATCGATAGAGTTTTCTTCGATATTTACACCAATATGGATTTAATTATTTATTAAAGTTATTGCTATGTGCCTTTGAAAGAAATCAACTTTCAATGAAATCAACTGAACGCTAAAAAACGTTATTAAACTTCTAAATTTATGAAGTTTCGGCTTACGAAAATAAGATAGTTATATATTATTACTGTTTCTGCTTACATTTTGATTGGAATACTCTGTTTCCATAATTCAGGAAATATTATTTGTGATTTTTCAAAGTTTATTTTTCTTTTCTGCGAAATTTCCTTGAATCTATTTTTACTGCAGTATCTCATGTTCTATACAAATATGTATATAAAGTATTTTTTCCCTACATGGTATGCAAGACTTTAGAAAATTGCACTTTGGGTTACCTGCTGAACAAATGATTCTACCATAAATATGCAAAGCAACAGTAAGAGAAAATGAAAGAAAGAAAATCGCAATAATGCTTTCTGTGAGAGCGCATTCTACATTGCTTTGAAAGAAACATACGTCATCTATAATTCAACCAAACAACTGTATTTGGATGAAATATCACCAAGAACTACTGCCATTCTGAAGCGGAAATGCTTTTGCGAGATATAAATTTATGGCAATGACAAAATTATTGCACTTTACAATATTTCCTCCTTACCTAGAATGCCACAGAGTAGAATTTGAATGACATGCATTAAGGGGCATGCTCATAAAATGATTTATTCCTATTATATTACACTAAGATCATTTTTTATCACGTATTGATCTGGAAGATATTTTTAAGAAAGCATCATGTGCTTGTGACAGGGCTTTGCATATAGATGTAATAAATTCTGCTTACAATAGCATTCGTTCTGAAGAACTATATCAGTTGTCTCTGATAAATATAAATTTAATTAACTCCAGCTCCTGATATCACGTTACTTCGCTATTTGTGTTGCTACGGATATATGTTTTCTCCATTTCAGATAGAAAATTAGATTCGCTATCTATTTCATAATACCATAAATATATTTCATTATAGTGATAATCCTTATTTTATTACTAGTGCTGTAAAAATTAACTTTACTGATATTCCAATATTATTGCGCTAAAATAATTACCATCCTACACACTATTGTCATCCGGTTTTACGGAAAACAGTTATATTCAATTTATTATGTTTTCATATATTGAATGCTTCCTTTATTGCTAGTTAATTTCGTTATTTCTTCAGATTTTGTGTTGTGTAAACTTAATGTAAACATGTTTCGGCTTACGAAAATAATATAATTACATACTATTACTAAGTTATTGCTAATTAATTTCGTTATTTCCTCAGATTTTGCTTTGTGTAAAATTAATGTAAACACTTTTGCAAGCAGGGTATGTATAAATGATATTGTATGTCTGATTGCCTCATATTCCTAAATTAAGATTAATGAAACTGCACATGTTAAATCCATATTTCAGAACTACTTCAAAATTACAGTTAATCTGAGGACAGTCAAAGAAAAAATAAAAAAAATAAATAACTCATATTATAAGTAACAAAAAACCATTATTACTGCTTGATCTGTATTTTCAAGAAGTTTAATGTGTAGTCTGAACCCATTCGATTATTTTAATTAAACTATTGCTCAAAACAAAGAGAACTAAACGTAAACTCAGTGCGTAACAAGCCTAGTGCGCGATGGCCTGCAGTGCCTCGCTATATGTTCTCCTGACCTTGGGCTTCAGGGTGCGTGAGTATTTGCTCTGAACTAGTTAGTGATCAACTTGTCACAGGTCTCCCGGCGGCGTAATGGCAGACCGCACATTGAGTTGAACAGTGTTAAGCGAATTTCGCTTACTGCGCATGCTTGATGGTGTACCTTTGGCGCGGGGAGAAATATTGGCGACTAAGCAACCCTACGTTAGCTTATTCGTGATCTCCATGGCTGTCGAGTGTGTTCGAGTGATGTTTAATACTGCAATGTTGTGGAACTTTGATTAGTTATTCTAACGTCCATACCGATTGCACTTGCTTATTTTTCTAATAACTGTTTCATTTTAATTTGTCAATAACAGTGGATTTAATATTTGTTTACATGTTATAATTCAGTATTTGTAAACTGGAGTATCTCAGAGTTTGTTAGCGTATATTCGCGCTTTTATTTTCTCCTTTCAAAGAATTTAATAACTAGCATTAAGGAATTGTAAAATTTCTTCAGTGTTATTTGCAAGCACTTGTTATATTCCTCAGTGTTTCTTTACGTATGTACGAATGGAACGTATTGTAAATCCTGAATTGTTTTTTATTGCTTAAAAGTGTAATGAATAAATTTTCAACTAATCAATCAATCCT